TAGAGAGAGAGGGAGTAATAGTTCGTTAGTTTCGTTAGTCGTTAGTAGAGAGAGAGAGAGAAGAAGGGTTAGGTCGTCGATCTAGAGGAAAGTAAACATTTTAGTATATAGAGAGAGAGAGAGAGAATTTAGCCTTTAGAGAGAGAGAGAAAATTTAGCCTTTAGAGAGAGAGAGAGAGGAGTTTAGGCACTTTGATCCATGGAGGATCGGTGGGCAAGCCTCCCTCAAGAAATCTTGATCCACATCTTCTCTCTCCTGAACCACTTCCAGTCCCTCCGCTCGCTCTCGCATGTCTGTAAATCCTGGCGCGAGGCCTCTCTGGATTCCGCCTGTTGGGATCCCTTGCACTTGTCTGATCACAAAGCTTTCATCTCCTCACTCCTCAAGGAAGAAGACATTCTTGATCGCACTGTGAACCAGAGGACCTTCTTTCTGCTCAAACGTTGTCGAGGCAATGTCAAGTCCATCTCCTATCGCTTCATCGCCAACGATTCCAGTCTTCATCAAATTGTAGAGAGGCAATTCTTACCTTGTTCTTCTCTCTCTGTTTCTCTCTTCTTATTTTTTGCTTTTTTTTCTTTGAATTAGATTGGGTTGGGAACATTGCTTTTATAGGGATAGGGGTGGCAATGGACCCGAACCCGACATACGATCCGAGGGGTAGACCTGATCCCGGTTACACTATTTGAGTTTGGGTTCCGATCGGGTGCGGTCAGGTCCGGGTCCGGTAAGATTTTTCAGGCCCCAATTTATGAAATATATTTAAATATAATTAAATACATAGATATTTTAATTTTTGGGTATGACTGGACCCGGACCTGTTCTGACCCGTTGCCACCCCTAAATGGAGACTCATCGGTTTGTTGAATCATTTACTGATCGTTCTAATATGGATGTTGTTTCTGTTAGGCCCGGGCCTTGTGAAAATAGTAAAGCTTAATCTCATAATCTCGTCGAGAAAATACTTGGGGCATGAAAATCCCCATGGTAGCTCTAAAATCTATTTTCACCATTAATTTAAAAATTTGTAGCTCAAAAAATGATAGAGAACACCATGATAGCTCTAAAATCTATTTTCATCATTAATTTATAAATTGGTAGCTCAAAAAATGATAAAGATATTGTGAGGGAGTTCATATGGCATCAGAGGTATTGTTATTTGAGGTAGTTGAATTGGTTAACTTTTTAGGAATCAAGCCTTGGTGCCACAATGAATGCAGGAGTGTTGATTTTCTAGGTAACATTTGGGAGTGCACAGGTGGGATAGCTTTTGAAAAGATAAACTTTATAAAATACTGATAAGTTTATCAATTTTTTTTTTTTTTTTTTTGACAAATGTTACTACTTTTATTGATAACTAACTGATAAATTTACCATTATTGGACATTATGATGGGCACGGCAAACAACAAACAATTCATTACCAGATTAATTTTTTTAAGGATAATGGTTTGATAGTGCAGCCCTATCAAAATAAGTCAAGCCTCACTTCATAAGTCATCGAAAATTACAATTCAAGCATTAGAAAACCTTTACATCGGTCATCTTAGATTGAACATTATGCTTGTGAAAAAAAAAAAGGGATTTCAAGTTCTAAAAATAATGTATATTGTAACAAATTATCTAGACCATTTGTTTTACCCTAAAAGTAAGTGTTCCTAGATCCACAAAATTTGTACCATTTTTTGAGTTTCGAATTTCTTTAGTTGGTGTTGGAAATTGATTTTAGAGCTATCATGGATATTTTTTTTGCCGAAAGTGCTTTCTCCATGAGGATTTTAGATGAAGCTTTATTTTTGTTTTCGTAAAGCCTAGGCCTCATAGAAAGCTCAGCCTTTTATTAAAACAAAGAATTATTGGTAATATTAAGTACATCCAAATAGGCCCTTAGGCAAGATAAACGATTTTGGAGGATTACTTTGATCTGAAATTTTAGGGGACATCGTAGAGTCAAGAGATAAATAATTGCTGGAAAAAAAGAAAGAATGACTTCTAGAAAGTTAAGGGCTATGTGTTCACTCTTGGGAGAGGATATTTTGTAGGATATTTTGTAGGCAATATTTGGGTCCAATTACATTTTTGTTCTTTCTTTCTTTTTTTTATTTGTTTAAGGTTAATCACTAGTCTAGAGTATATCAAGAAGATTTGGGGTCCTTTGAAGTAGTTTCATGCCCCTCAGGAGCTAGTGTACAATTTGTTTCCAAGAGAGCATACATTCTTTTCTCAATATATTTATATGGGCATGGTTCTTTATGGGTGCACAATGATGTGAATTAGGTACATACATTATATGTTTTTGCAGTGAGATTCTATGTTGTGACACCATTTAGGCATTTACTTATGGGTGCGGTTTGTATAGAGTTGAGGCTCTAAACAATCAAATTAGAGCCCACCTTCAAATAGTGTTGAGAAATGTGGTTTTAATACCGGAAATCTTTGCGATAGCCTTAAAATATATTTTCATCATTAATTATAAAATTTAAAACTTAAAAAATAGTGTAGACCAAGGAGATCTATGATAATATTACAAGATGCACTATTTCCAAAACTTGGAATCTATTTTATTTTCATGTATCTTGTGTTGAGATGATCAATTTGAGAATATGTGGGCATCAAAACAACCTCTTCTAGTGAAATTTTTTATGTGGGCTATAACAAATTTTGTTGTTTAGAGCGTCGTCTCTATATGAACTTTTTCTTTTACTACTAAGAGGACAAGAAGATCACAATTACTTAGCCATCGATTTGAAATTGGATGTATCACAAAGTTGAAAAAAATATCTTTTGGACTTTTAGTTTGGTTATTGATACAACCACATATATCTTATTGTGACCTACTTGTACCAAAGGAAAATGATTTTATCTACACTTTTCAGTTTGTAATTGTATATAGCAATGACTAATATGCACATCAATTAATGCAAAAATGTTCCACAACCCCACACTTTAGCAATTAAGGAAAGCTTTCTATACACCACTAGGTGCATGGAATTCATATATGCCACCCCTCCCAGCCGTTCAATCTGAATGGACAATTAAGGTGCCCCCAATCGTAATATCACGCCTAAACACTGTTTTATTTTTATTTAATTCATTTAGAAATGATATTGACCCAAAATTTGTAGCTTCCAATCCTTTATGATAAATATAAAAAATATTCTTGATAAATAAATAATCAAAATACCCCTAAAATTTTTAGGGGGAATTTGGTTATTTTGTTTGAGAGGTCTGACATAGATCAAACGATCAGTGGCTCACTAGCTCACTTATGACATTATAGCGAAAGCTATCCTAACCATCATTCAAATATGGCGGCTCGGAGAGAGTGGCATATATAAAATCTCTACACCTAGTTGTGTATAGAAAGCTTTTTCAGAAGTAAATATTAGAAAGAAAAGAAATACAGCATAAGAAAGAGCAGCTGCTTTAATAGTGTTCCATTTACAGGTATCCATTATTGGAGTCTCTGTCTCTGCGAAACTGCGCTAGTGTTTCAAGTAAAGCTGTGTGTCAAGTGCTGAAATCATGCAAAGAACTGAAGCTCTTGGATCTCGGTGGAAGCTACTGCTTAAATGCAAGAGCCATTCAAGAAGTTGAGGGAATGTGCCCTAAGCTTGTAGGGTTGAATTATGGAGGACACATAAACTTGGAAATGGGACAAGCTATAGGGAAGAGCTTCCCAAATCTCAAATGGCTTAACCTTAGGGGAAGTGGCATTGATAGGTATGGTCTGCAAAGTATATTGGAGTCCTGCAAGGGGCTGGAGTACCTTAATGTGATGGGGTGTCCTAGACTCACTCTAAGCAGTACACTCACTAACAAGGTTGCAGGCCTACTAGAGTTCAAGTGTTCACACTTCAGCTACTTCTACAACCATGACCATGGCAATGACTACAACCATGACCATGCCTATGGCTACAACCATGACCATGGCTATGATCATTTTGGCTATGACCTTTGGTATCCTTGAGAGAGAGAGAGAGAGTGTGTAAAAACTATATGTACAGGGGTGGATGGTGAATAAGATGCCTTAGTTTTAGGTGCCTCATGGATTCTATAGATGTTCATGTTTATGTCTATTTTGGTACAAAAGGAGGTAAAATATATATTGGTTTTTGTTTTGGAAGATGATGACTGATATACCTTTGAGGGATCAAACTTATCTCCTTGGTATTGGAGATAGGCTAAAACATGTCATCTTCCGAGAAACAAACTTATCTCCATTGTATTGGAGATATTTATGGTGGGACTCAAAAAGGTAATTTTATGTGAAAGATTTGAAGGATTTTGGTGCTTCTGGGAGCAAATTGTACATTTGCTTTATGGGGGGAGGAGGGGAAGATATGGTGCACTTGCAGGACTAAGTTGTGCACTTGCTCTTATGGGAATAAATACATATATGTAGGCTTTCAAAAGTTTCACATCATCTTTATTAAAAAAGGGCGAAATCTTATTTGGACAGGGTACTTCTTTTACAACGTTGATGGAAGAAAGAAAAAAACATTGATTTGTTATACTGCAACGCCTGCTCCATCTACAATTCTAGATTGTCCATTTCTATGACAATCATATTAACAGTTTTAAGCAGTGTTATGTGACTATGAGAAGTCCACTCTGACTCGGCCGAGTTACTCGAGTCCTAGTGGCCCCTAGTGTATACACAACACACACAACTCTGGGCACATAAAAAAATCTAAAAATTTGAAAAATTATAAAAATATATGTATGGTATATATATATTTTTTTTTTTTATTTAGATAATTTTGGAAATGATTGGTGAGTGTTTGTTCTATAATCCCTACTTTTATATTTTCATTTTTTTGGCTAAAAATCAGCTCTTTTTAGATTCATTTGTTTTTATACACATTTTTAACTTTATTTGGACTTTTAAAGATTACTTTTAGTATTATTTTACTTTTACTGTCTTCAATATATTTTTCATATTTTATGGCAAGATTCGGACTCGCCTGAGTCACTCGGCTCAGTCAAGGGCCGAGTACCTTGGTCAAGTCGAGTTTTGAACACTGGTTTTAAGACTTCAATATTAATTATTGTTTTTCAGAAATTGGTCGCAATAAGCTGAATCGTTGACTTGGATTGTCCATCAGAAAATTCGGTCCATCTAGGTGGATCGGCTGTCTGGATCAACGATTTGGTTGAGTGAATCTCAACTAAATAATAATAATAAAAAAACAAAAAATTGAAAAAATAATAAACAATAAAATGTGAGGCCTAATCGGCTAGTTCCCTTACAAAACTGGCAGGTTCCCTTACAAAACTGGCATGTTCCCCATATATAGTGGGAATCAGATTGGTCCACCAACTCCTAATCTAGATCAGATGAATGCGCAGTTTTTTTTTCTTTGTTTTACATTAGGCATTAATAGTTTTTAAAACCCTAGACTAAGTTGTAGGTAGATATAGGAACCCTAACAGGCTCCAAAAAATTTATATAGAGGATCTGTTGGATACATTAATCTACATTGGTTAACTGCCAACAATGCCGTGGAGATCTAATATCATTTGCCATTGTCAATTCAATGATTCGAAACAGTATTTAAAAAATCGGATTGGAATGGTTGTTTTTTGTTGTTCAACCTGGAATGGGTGGGGGCCAGTATATATTTCCGATGGAATTAAGACAAGGACCAATACTCCTAGAATATATTGTTTTTTTTGCTTATTATATGGCAAAACATTGTTTCAAAAGTAACTTGTGTATTCTAAACTTAAATTTAAACAAACAATATTGAAGTTTTAAAAAATTGAACAAACACATTCAGTTTGACCATTTGTAGGAGGACTACCATGCCCTTGAGGGTGTCATCAATTATATGGCCTTATTATTATAAGGGTGCAGTTGACATATGGATGCATCCGTAGCTGTAAAGGTAAGGTCCACCTTCAAATTTTGTCATGGTATATAATTTTGATGTACAATGTTCTTAAGATTATCTCAAAATCTATTTTTATATTTAATTATAAAATTTTAAATTTAAAAAATAGTTAAAATCAAATAGATCTATAAACATATGAAAATCTTGAAAAATGACGGTGTAGATAATATGTTGTAAAATGTACTATTTCTGAAAATTAAAATCTTTTTATGTTTCATGGTCATACATCTCGATATCGAGATGATCAATCAAAAGGTTTTTCAACATTCAAACTATCTTTTCCAATGAATTTTTGAAGTGCATCCGTAGCTGTAGAGATAAAGTTGCAACCTTATATAAACTTTTTCCTTCTTATAATAATTGAAAAACATTGTTTGTTGCAATGATCAGTAATGTGTCCTTCTTAGTTAGCTAAGTTCTATTGTACTTGGCCATAGTTTCAACCCTTGTTAAGACTATTGGGATTAGCAAAGGCCATATGGGTGAGAATCTCGTGAGCTCGATTTGCACGTTCTGAGACAACTTAAGCCGGTCCCTTCTGGATGAGGATTTGAACAAAGCATCATATAGTGAAGGAGTAGGAGTACAATAAATAGCATACATTCTCATGATTTCAAATGTTAAAGATTGTCCCAAGTGTAGTGGAATAAAAAAACTACAATGATTTATTGCTTCAGCAACTGCATTTGAGCTCTTTGGGCGAGGATTTGAATTCAAATTATATTCGACCTTATACATGTAACCCCCACATGAAAGAATAACCCAGCAACTTGATTTTGTAATATTCAAGCTTATCGTCTAATAGTCCATATTTATTAGGGGTGGCAATGGACCTAGACCCGATCCGGGACCCGCCGGGTATGAGTTCAATATTTGGACTCCGTGGGTCGGGTCCTGGTCCAAAACCTAGACCCGAACACTATTTGGGTCTGGGTTCGGGCTCGATTGGAACCAACCTATACGCGTAAATTGTTGGAGTTAAAAAATTTCAAGCCCTATTTGTTTGGGTGTATCAAGAATCATATATAATAAGAACTCGTAATCATCTTTAGCTATTAAACGACAAATCAAACGGCTTGAAATCTAATGGCGGATGATTGTGACCTTGTTACCAATACTATACATATATGATGATTAAAAAAGGGTAAAAAAAAATGAGGCTCATAGTGAGTGGCAATGGACTCAATGGGAAAGACCCGAGACCTGACGGGTATGGGTATGGGTATGGATATGGATCCAACTTTTGGACACTACGGGTCGGGTCCAGGTCAAATATCTAGACTCAAATACTATTCGAGTCTGGATCCAAATCCAGCCAGATCCGACCCGTTGCTACCCCTATCTCAAAACCTCATGCACATACCTACACGTCTAGAAAGAGAAAAACTTTCAATGAAGACTTCCTCTGCTGTGTGTGGACATTAGAGGAGAAAAGATAGGACTAATCCAACTGAGGTAACAGTCCTACCCCTAGAGGAGCTGAGAAGTGAAAACAATACCCCTTCATACAGGTATATAGGCATGATACACCCATGGTGATGATATTTTTCTTCTATTATGTACATTTTTCATGTTTTGAGTTTGTAAGCGTTATAAGACTGAAATCATAGGTGTCCGGAGCCGTATACTGGTTTGAAGTAAATTGTAACAGGGATTGAAAGTCCCTAAAACTCCCAATGAACCCAATCATATATAAAAACCACTGTATTTCTATTATATGAAATTCAAATGACAAATTTGTTTCTTGTCTGTGTAGTGCTGTGGTTATTCTTCTTCATAATCCTGGAGTCATAATCTTCAGATGCATTTCTTTAGGAAAACACTTACATATAGATTTTGTAGGACATAATTCTCTTAAATTGGATTTAGAAACTTTAATGGTTGTTTGAAACTCATTTTTTAATCACATTATAAGTTCAAAGAGATTACACATACTCAACTAGTATTTAAACAAATAAGCCCATGTATACTTGAAAAAGAGTCGATAAATATCTTATTGAATGAGCAAGAGCATAACCCCATACATCAAAATGCATTAAAAAGAATTGACTAATACTTTTATTATTACTAAGGAGAAAGGTAAAGTCAAGTGTTTCGTCAATTTCCAACTCTTAACATCAAATATCTTATCAACAATCTTATAAGACGACACAATAGATAAAATTTCAAAATTTAAAAGGGAAAGCATCTTTTAAGTGTGTGCTTGTCCTAACATAAAAAGGGAGAATTAAATGTCTTATTTTGTGGGGGAGAGGACTTGTGAAAGTTGAGAGAGCCAATTTGAAGCTAACTATAAAGATGCAACCCTTCTTAGTGTCTCAATTAATTGCCTTTATAGTTATTTGATCTTGCACCATACAACTTTTATTAGTGAATGTGACATGACATTCAACCACCCAATAATTTTAAACCTAATAATTATAAATTAGTTGCAAAGTTGGGAACATGGATATCTTCAATAAAAAAAATCATGAATAGGCCAATGATGTTAGGATTACCAAAGTGGGCAACACAAAAAAAGATACCCATCAATATTGAAGCGAGTTATCTTAGGATAATCAAGAAAGTTGTCATATCAAAAGGTTAGAGGATCAATGATCTAACTGTTTGAGAATAAACTTGAGTTGTTTAATAGATGGATAGACAACTATAACAAAGATAAAAGGAAAGAGTTCTCAAATATGTTTTCACTAATAGTCAATTACATGGCATTAGTCTTGTAATAATTGCAAAAATTTGTTTCTTGCAATGATCAACAATGTGCCCCCTTCTTTTTCTTTTTTAATGGTAGCAATGTGCCTTTTTTAGTTAGATAAGTTGTATTGGGCTTGGCTAAAGCTGCAAACTTTGTTAAGACCATTGATTTACCCGAAAATAAAAAATATATATCTTAGTATTTAAATAAGAGAAAAGTTTATATAGGGATGATACTCTAAACAATCAAAACATAACCTACCTCAAAAATTTAACTAGAAGATATTGTTTTGATACCCAAATGTCATCAAATTGATCATCTCGACATCAAGATGCATGGACATGAGAAAAAAATAGATTTCAACTTTTGAAAATAGTGCATCTTGCAATGTATTTTTTACCGTCAATTTTCAAGTGTTTCGAGTTTTCATAGATCTGCTCAATCTACACTATTTTTTAAGCTTTAAATTTTATAATTAAAGATAAAAATATATTTTAAGACTATCATAAAGATTTTCTATATTGAAACCATATTTC